TAGAATCAACTGAATAAAAGGTTTAGTTTTAAACAATTTAATTGGTTTGAAAAAGCACAAAAAAATTGAAAAAGCATACATAATTTATTTAAGTACATTCAAAATGTAATTGGACTTACTAAGGAAATTTAGGTGAAATGTACTCAAAGTAATTGAGGTAAAATTACTAATATAATTTATTTGCAATTACTTAAAAATGATTAGTTGAGTCAACATAAATACTATATCTAGCTTCAGATAAAATTATTTCGTGCAAAAACTTGACGAAATAAAATTACGTTTGTTCAACAAAACATTTTTTTCAGTGTAGGGACTTTTTCTTTGGTTGAACGTATGGTTCCAATAAAAACAGTAAGGGTGTGGATTATTGGGGGCATTGTCTCTAGAAGGACACCTTGAACCATTTAAATTAGTAGTAGCAGCAAAAATCAAAGAGACAGATATCGCGAAACCTGATGACACTTAAAGCTCCAGTGTGTAACATTTAGGAGGATCTGTTGGAAAAAATGGATTATAATATTAATAGGTATGTTTTCATTAGCGTATAATACCCTTAATGTAATAATTATTGTGTTGTTGTTTCTTAGAATGAGCTTTTTTTATCAGCATGTTGAACCACCATGTTTCTACAGTAGCCCAGAACGGACAAACCAAACATTGGCTGTAGATAGGGCCACCGTAGTTTCTCCTACATGCTTGAAAGGCGAGCCATTGGTTGGTTGCAATCTGTAACTTCACCTCTAGATGCCACTAATGCTACACACTTGTGCTTTTAAAAACAAAATGACTTGCATGGCTGAATACCACAAGAGGACAGTAAAATTACCTTATAAATCTTCTACTGTGCAGTGGAAGCATCCTCTCTTCCTCAGTTTTCTAAACCACTGGTTTGAGACCCCGTGTGAGTTCACTTCATATTCACATTATTCATACTCAGGGTTATTGAAATTAGAGATTTACTGATACCAATACCAGTATCAGTTATTGGGTCTGATACTGAGTTCATGTACTAGTAATTGTAATCACAAAACTACTCTGATATCACTTTACAGTAGCGTGACGTTACGTAACCTCTCGTTAGTTGAGCAGGTAGTCAGAGACGAAGCAATGTTAGCAGTTTGAAGATATTTTAAGCAACATTTACAACATTTTATTAGTTACAGTCAGAAAGTGTGGAACCCCTGATAAAAATATAACACGTTTTCAAAGTCATTGTTGGAACATTGGCATGCGGTATTGGCAAGTACGTAAAAGTGGTATCACTGTGTCCCTCATCCAAACTTTACAAACACAGTTATGAGCTACAACATTTTGAAAAACCTTTAAACTCAATAACTCAGTGTAATAATGATACTTTATTTTTCATTAGAAGAAAAATCAATACTGCTACAACTCATTCAATCACGCACATTAGATCCAGCTCAACAAAACAAAGCGCAACACATGTTTAAACAGAAGCAAAACCAACAACATTGTCTTCAGGCATCTAAGCTATATTTAATTTGGAAAAAGATGAATTCACAACCCATAATTGAAACAACCCACCGTGCCAATAACTCTGTCAGTCTTATTCAGCATGTACAGACAACAGGCGAGGGCTGACAAGACAAACAGCACACACCCTCCACAGTCTATAAACACACTGCTGTGGGATACATACTCTGGATGCTTCATGCTTGAGTGGTTTTTCAGCGATATGTGGTGACAATCTTCCAATATCTTCTTGTTTTAACAAGCTTATGCCAACACATAAGAGAATCCTTGTAAAATAATAAAACATAAAAATAAATACTTTATTTCAAAAGCAGATTTATGCAGATACACTGGAATTGACTCAATTTGGCACACTGGGAGAAATACACCAGAGTATCCTGCCTGTACTTGTCTGATCAGTTAATACTTTAAAGGTAAACATGACATGAGATTTGTTTATGTTATATGACCACATATCAACATATCTGTGGTCTGGTCTCTGTAGTATCACCATTTAATGGCTAAAACACTGCAGGTCTTCATGTCATATCAGAAACAAACAAATGATCAAAAAACAATCAGTGTAATCTCAATAAAACATCTGAATGTACATTTAAATTCAAAATAGAACAATATGTATAGTAAAGCAAAATGGTATAATGCACTATATGAGCAGATATATTGGTTCCAAATGACCAGTAGTGTTAAAACTACCATCTTGAATGTCCATAATGAGAATCTTTGGAAGATATTAGTGTTAATAACAGTGTGAAATGTGACAAGAAAGGTCCAGTGTGTAAAATGTAGCTATGCATATCATGTGCATAACTATGTTTTCATTACCATATAATTGTCTGAATATTGGAATTGTTATGTTTTTGTTACCTTAGAATGAGCCTTTTATATCTACAGATGCCATGAGTCACCTTCCATGGAGTCTCACATGTTGAACCACCATGTTTCTACAGTAGCCCAGAACATACAAACCAAATACTGACTGTAGATAGGGCCTTTCTTACACACTACACAGCCTGTTCCCAGGTCTATCAATACAGACGCAAGTGGTGTTCATTTAGTTGGAATCTAAAACTTTACTGCTAGATGCAACTAAATCCTCCACACTGGACCTTTAACACAAAAGAAACAACAATGGCTGACAATACGTTTTGTTTCTGCTGTCAAACAACAAAATAATGTTATTTCTATATGTTGATTATCAGTATAATTAGGTGTCTGCTGCTTGTCAAACGAAACCAAGAATTGCATGGATTTCTAGGGTTGGGGCCACGTGGAGCTCCTTGATTGGTTGAGTTGAAACTAAATGGGTGGAGCCACAGTCTTTCTATAGCCATCTTTGTCAGTTACTGGAGTCACTGGAACATTAACATTTGGAATTGGTGGAGAAGATATGTGATGTGTAAGGGACAACCTCTGCTGCTGACTGCAATAGGCTGAGAAACACGCAAGCTAAATCAAGCATTTACCCAAACTCTCCTTCATTTCAGCCATAATATGTTATTGATGGAAAAGTAACTTGCCACAAAGATGCGCATCAGAAAAACTATTTACAAAACTTTACTTCAATATAGTATTTTTGGATCAAGCATCTAGTGGTCATTAAATGAAGTGCATCTTAAATGCATTTTGCTACAACTCATCCAAGAAAGAAGGAAGGGTCATTACGTCACCGTGCATAATGGTGCCACACTTGAAAGCTCTTGGCAAAGTTAGCGTCTTCTCCAAATGTTATATGATGTATATATGCTGGGTTTTAGTGTGCTTCTTCATGCATCTGCCATAAGTTTCAATAAGACTTCCACCAAAGTCTGGCGCTAAATAGCATTAGAACGTAGGTGTTATGATGTAATGACCCTTACTTTAGTTTCCCTGAAGTCCTCTTGGTGGGTTAGTGATACAGTTAGCTAGCTAATCTAGCTTACCTTCTAATTTCAATCACTTACTGAAAACCTGTCCTTATGTGTTAACCTTTTTGTTTCTTGAATTGATAACTGAAGTATAATTCTAGACTCAAAATGTGCTGAAAATGACATTTTTAATAGGAATGTGGTTAGTTGTTGTTTGTCGGTTAACAGGAATTTCAGTTGCTTAGTTGTCTCCTCTGTTTTCTGTGATGGGAGCTGCTGTTGGAATCTCCACAGTAACACAGTGAGTCACATTGCCGGGGGAAGTGGCAACAGGTGTGGTCGTTGTTGCTGGTGGGGGTGTTACAGTTGGCTTATCTGTGCCCATTGTTTCTGGTTCAGTGGTGAGTGCACTCCCTTCTCCTGTGGTGATGGTTGTCTTGGTAGTGGTGGTCACGACCGGTGTTGTCTGATCGGTGATTAGAACTTCCTCAGAGGAGGACTCCTCCGAAGACTGACTTTCTGAAGAGTGACTTTCTGAGGACTGACTTTCTGAAGATTGACTAGATTCCCGTGAATCTAGTGACTGATCCGAATCTGAAGAAGAGTCTTCAGGGCTTGAAGACTGATACAACCAGTAATTCCTGCCTGACAATCCCTGTAACCGGTCGTTCTCAGTGATGTCAGCATCATAATGCCGACGCCGACCAAACTGTGGAGGGAATATCAAGAGAAGTTAGACTCAGATACTCACTATTTCCTGTCGGATTCCCAGCCCAGGCTTCCTAGATATTACATTTATATTGGACGATTCTGCATTTCTGATTTACATTCAATGCTAATGCAAGAGTAGAAAGTAAAAAATAAAAACTTTAATCACAATCTTTTCCACACCTTAACCATACCATAAGGCAGCATTCACAATACCTGCTGTTGCGGCAATTGAATGGAACATGAAGCCCTGTAGCCTATACAATGATGTTTTTTCCCCTTTTGTTGAAAAAGGGGAAAAAACATCATCAATATATTGCTGGTTAGCGATTGACTGTCAACTGACTGTGAAATATTATGAATCATTTTATCATTTGCCGGAATTTGTGAAAAATTCAGTGAGTTACACAGTTTCCGGTGACCTGTACTTCAAATGCAGCTATTGCCATCTTTTGTTGTTACAACTAAACACAGCTGGAACATTAACACACATAGTTGACTTTCATCAACTAAAATTGACTACTCAGCACCATGTACATTAACCCATGATTTAAATCCCATCACTGACTAACAAATGACGTGACTTGTTCACATTACAGATGGAACTTGCGCAATGGCTAACAATGCTGGCCTAGCACCTTGTCAACTTCCTGTGTGTTGACATGATATATTAAATTGTTATTAGTGTCCACCCCCATGCATATTGCAGCAATCAACAGCATCAGTTGAAACCAGAAATTCAGGACATTGAATGAATGAAGAGGGTGCTATAATGGCAGAAAAGATATAAAAACTTAATTCTTTTAGCAATTAATTAATATCTCAATTCAGTTTTAATCATCAAGAGTTCTAGCTATATCAATTAATCTTTGTTTTTATTGAATACGTTGTATAAATGAATGGGGTAAATAGCCAGAGAGATTTGATAAAAATATTTTTTTTTTTACCATTTCTGGAAGCCAATAAAAAACTGTCACAATAAACATAACTTAGTGAAATATTTAGAAAATAGGCAGCAAAACCAAAAGTCAAAAGCTTATTGTGCCCTAGAGGTTACAATGTTACATCCCACGACTGGAATGTGTTCAAACTCTCACAACAAACCTCAGCAGTGAGAGTAGGTGCAACAAAGAAAGGAAACAGTGGGAAAATGAGAGACAAAGAGCAGTGAAGATGAGGGAGGATTCCTACGCAGCTTTGTGGTTAGCTTACCGGCTTAGCGGATGCTGTTGTAAGAAGGACGATGACGAGGGCGGTTGTCAGAAGCTCCATCTGTGATTGGTTCTTGTTTGCGAAGGAGGGAAGCCACAAACAAAAACACAGTCACTTACAGAGTCAGAGGCTGAGCATCATATTTACAGTACACTGGAGGATTGTAATTAAACGTGTAATGTAATTGCAGTAAACACATATATGTTTTCTAAAGAGATACATATTCTCATACTTAGTGAGAAGTTTCTCATAAACCCACAAAGCATCATAAAGACATAAATTAAAACAAGAACATAATCGAAATTAAATAAAAAATAAAACATTTTAAAATCAAATCTAAAAAAATTAAAAAAAACATACCTGTTCTCGAGTTCTTTCTTACTTCCCTTATGTCCTGAATAAAATGAGTGGGGTTCTGTGCAGCTGTGATCACTCTCAGTACAGAAAGACGTCTGACCTCCATGCAGGAGCAGCTGCTGCTCATATATATGCTGCCTGGACCGGGAGGCTGGGCTGGGTAGGGCTGTGACAGGCAGGGGACCAGGGAGGAGGATTGGGCAAGACTGGGTTGTCTGGGGCAAGAGTGAACGGGAGGGGCAGGAGAGGAAGTTTACCACACACTTATATCTCACCCACAGCTGAATCAGTGGCAAAGTTATTTATTTAAGTTATTTATTTTGTTCATGAGTATTTGTATGTATGTATTTTTCTTGGCAAATATTTTACCATTTGGCAAAAAAGTATACATATATGTATGCTCTACAATGAAGAGCTGGGGCAATATATAAAGTATATGATATGTGATCATATGTTAGGGGTGTAAGAAAATATTGAAAAATATCGTATCGCAGTATTTTGTTACAATACTATACTACAATATGTAGCATAGGTGTGTATTTTGTTTGAAACTTGACTGTTGGTAGGATCAGCTGCATGACACTTCAAAGCAGGTTTACCAGACACAAGGCGGAACAGAAAAATGCCCCTTTTTCATTTCTGCTCTCATGTCAGTCAAGAGCAGTTCACAGCACTTGATGATCAAATTTTGATTTATTTATCAAGAATTTAACAACTCAGTTTGTCTGATATAAATATAAATCTTCTTGATGATGCTCTATGTTGGAGGCTGATCTAAGGTTTGATGTGGTGAGGATGGGACTGAGAAATGTCAAATGGAGTCGGAAGTCTGAATGAGGTAACAGAGATAGATCCAACATACAGACGGGCTCCGGGAGTGCTGAACAGTCACTGGAATGTTACAGTAGAGTCAGAGTGGAGCGACGCTTTGATCGGACCTGTGTGTGCATGTGACACTGCTGTGTTACTTCATCACTATGAAACTCTCCCCCCTCACCTCTTCCTCTCTCTTCTCTTCGCGAAAATCCCACAACACACCTCAGGATGAATCATAAACAAAATGAATCATGAGAAATTCCAAACTAGAAGTTTAGCTGATCAACAAAACAAACAATTCTGAAAAATGGGAGACCTCATCCACAACCACAGATCATGTAAACCAGCCTAAACATGAACAAAGGATGTGGTTTATATATATTTATAAATAGATGTGGTTTATATGTCTTTAAAGCACTTATTTTATTTGTATTTTTTTCCACAATGTTTCTTTGGCTCGGAGCCCTGTGCTGTTTGTTAGAACAGCTACAGGTTTAAAAATGGTGGCAGTGGGCCCATTTCTGCAGAGAACCAGTGTTTTTTTATGATGGGAATTTTTCAAGCCCTGTTATTGACATGGATCCGGGATGGCACTGCCGGTGTGTCTGTCAGTCGGTCCACCACCTTTTTGGACTGAAATATCTTAATGTAACAGCTAGTGGATGGATTGATATGACATTGTACAAACATTCATGGCCCGCAGAGGATGAACCCTAATGACTTTGGTGATCTTCTCACTTCTAGTGGTGAGGAATAGTGAGGTTTACATTTTGGTTTTAAGTGAAATGGCATTACATTTTGCCCAGATGTCTATGGTTCCCAGACAATGGATTACTACACTTTAATTTATACTTTGCTGATTGCATGAACTTTTGTAAAGGAAATCGTGATCCCCTGATTTTTCCTCTAGTGCCACCATGAGGTTGAGATTTGGGGTTTTGAGTGAAACAGCTTAACAACTATTGGTTGGATATTGTAGGTTTACTGTGACAGACATCCAGGATAACCTGTAAAAACTTTGGTAACCTTATGTCCAAATTTCAATTTGTTCAATGCCTTTTGGTTTAATGAAATACCTGCAAAATGAATGACATTCCCATCAGCCTCAGCTGTACTTTGTGTTTAGTGCTATTTAGCATGCTAACATGCAAAACTAAGGTAGTGCCCTTGGTAATCAGCATGCCTGCTAAACACCAGCATGTTAGCATTGTCACTGTGAGCATGTTAATATGCTGACATTAGTACAAGTGGTCACCCGATATGGGTTTTTCTGATGCTGATATTCAGAAAGCAGGGCGACTGATGGCCAATATATAATGCTGGCACCAAAACAAATAAAAGTCGTGTATAGATGTGTCTGCAGACGTTTTGTCGTCCTCCTGAGTGCAGACGTTGGCCAATGCCGGAAAATTGGCCCAGTTAATTAGCCTATCTGTACTAAGTACAGTCTCAAAGAGCTGCTAGTGTGGCTGTAGACTATATTCACTTTGACATTTTACAGACCAAATAATCAATAAATCAAATAAAATCAATTAGATTAGTGCATTATTGTGTCTAGATAATTCATTAAATCATCTGTACATGTCATAACACAGTAATATGTATATCAGCACATAATGAAATAGTAGTGTGACAGCAGTAGTACAGGAGGGTACCAGTAAATGTTTATCTGCAACCATGAACAGCAACAGCTTCATTGGTTACACTTTACCCACAGCCATTCAGTGGAAAATCCCAGGTCTAGTCAGTTATTAACGTCATCCAACCACAGTTTCTTAAGTGTGGTCAGGAAGTCCTTATTTGTATGTTTGTAAGTTAACTGGTCAGTTTAGGCGAAGAAGACAAAAAAAAAACAACCTTTGTCACAGTAAGACCATGATGATTTTGGAACTGAACCAAGGTTGGTTAAAAGTGCCCCCCTCTGCCTTCTGCAGTGACAGTTTAAGTTCAGACAACTTCCTCTTTCTGTTTTCATGAATAGGCCTGCTATTTTAGCATGTTGCTCACTTCTTTAGAGTTTGTAAAGTATAAATAAGTAGGTTGCTGCTGCTGGTTGGCTACTGAGCATCTCCCATCAGTGTCTGGCTCACAGACAGCCTCATTCTAACGGCACAGAGCTGCCTCATGCTTGTGTTGTTACTACAAGTACCATTTTACCTTACAGTGACAAAGCTGAATGTTATTTTTACATGACAGGGACCCTCACACAAAAACTGCAACACGTGTCCACCAACATGCCACAATAATAGTCTACAACGCTGGTTCTCAAACTACGTGTGCCACTGGTGGTATGCAAGCTGCGTCTAGTGGTACGCGGAGGAATCTTAGGAATTGTAAAATAAAAATAAATGAATTTAAAAACATGTAATACTTTCAAAATACTACAAAATCGAAACTATGAGATCACTGAAATGTAATTTCAAATAAGTTTAGCATTTCCTGTTATATTTGGTTTCAATATCAGCCTTCTACGCACTCATGTTCATGCATGTCGGGGTATTGAGGTATTTGTACTATTTCCATTTTATACTGTTGTACACTAATCCACTACGTGTCAGAAGGGAATATGTTTCAGATTTACACCAAAATATGATATGCTGAGGAAACATGTAACAACATAAAATTACCGCTAACATGTTCATTTTAAATGTTTTTACTTGTAATTGAGTATTTCTTTTACCTTGGTAAATACTTCCACCACTGCGATGTTATAACACAGAAGTTGATGAGCAACATAAACAGGATTTTCATCAGCCTGTGGACTTACAGTGTTGTTACTTTTCTGAAGTTTATGAGATACTGTCCAAATAAAGTCAATAAATAATAAAGACAATAAAAACATGCTCTAGTGTAAAATTATACCATATACTTTGCAATATAGTATATTGCAGTTTACTATATTACAAACAAGGCACTTTGACAAGGACTGACGACTGAAAAATAGTGACTCATGTCAACTAGTTCAGTCCAGTCACGGTAGTAGCAGACAGTATTGCAACAGGATCAAGATTCCACTTGTTGATGTCGTGTTAAATTCTTTATAGTTATCCTATGGAGAGTGTGAGAGCACCAGCGTCTCTACCGAACTTTGCTTTGATTTGCCAAGATATAACCCAAAATTATTCATGCTTTAGTTGCCACAAGTGAATATAACCGACAGCTAGAATCAAGTAACAGACAGCAGCAGATGGCTGTGAGGTACACAGTTCAATGTGTCAGTGGTTAAGACATTTGAATGTATGCCAGATGCATAAAAAAGCATCGCAATAGAGTATGTTTATCAAAAAGGGGAGGGTCAGAGGTGAACAGAGACTGCAGATGTACAGTTGAATATCATGAGACCTTTTTATATAATTTCAGTAGTTCAGTAGATTTTCCAAATCAAATGGAGCCAAAAAGCCTCTGTTTTGGTAGAATCTTCTAGGAATCAGTGTGAAGAAGTGGAACTCTGCTGTCAGGACATGCAAATAAACAACAAAAAGAAGGGAAGTGAAATGTTGCTTAATCAAATGTTTTCATTAAATCTAATTAGTCTGTCCATGCACGGCATGACTCAAAGAGGTTCCACACTGCAGGTACCAAGCCCAAGTGACTCCTTACTCTGGCTGCAGCCGGTTCATCTTCAGCCTTTACATGTTGCCCAATCACGCTTGGACCAGGTAAAACCAGATTCTCTATTTGCTAATAACTAGATGAAACCTATGTGGCACCAAGATATTTTCTAATATCTTCATTTTGTGGTCAATCACACCTATGTTTCTCCAGGAGTCCATCACCAAATTCACATTTGAGTTGGTTATTTCTTACTTCAAGGGACACCTTATTAATTACCATTATACTAACAATGTTTAAGCACCTTTGTGAGGACTGCTCTCTGTAGAAGAGATGAAGCAGCAGTTTAAAGTCTTTGATCTTTTCTTCAACTTTCAGCTCAACCATTGTTTTATAAAACAGTTTTTAGGACGATGATGAGGGATGAGGAAACAATTGCAGCTCGCCTGGTCACACAATCTCGTATAACAGATAAACAGTACACTAAAATATGTTTCTGAAAAGTGAGAAAATGGTCAACACAGTAACAGAATCTAGCTTCGTATTTAATCAGCTCTGCCTAGTCTGACAGTTTAATCTGACTTTGGTGCATTAAGCTGGACGGACTCACTGAGAATTACCTGTCAATCACAACATAGCCATGCCCCAAAGCATACCCTGCTTTATTGTCTGTTTTGCTCTAAATGGGACCATCATTTACTAAATGAACATCATGCTGTATGGAAGAAGACTTAAACCAGAGATTGAGAC